GTCCCAGCTAAACATGGTTTGAGAAAATGTAACCACTTGTTTCAAATCAACTGCTACTTTCATAAGTTTCTAATTTTTATATATCTAGGTTTTTTATGTCCAAATTCTTCAATCAATGAGAAAATCTATTTCACTGTTAGAGGTGTTATGTACCATAAGCCCAGTAGCCCACTACGTTATTCAACATTGACATTGTCTTTTAATTAACCCATTAAGCTGCGGAGCTTCCCCATTGACAAGTAAAATTGTCTGGCGTTAGACAAGTGAAAAAAAAGTAGAGCGCACTGGGGCGCGTTGTGGCTCAATGGGTTAATATATCAGAGAACAATATTTAAAAACATTGACTTTATAGCTTAAGTCAACGACAAAACGTCGTTAATTAATCAAAGTGCATTATTACTATGTGTTTATTTTCCTGTTTATGACTGACTTGTTTATTATACTAACACAAAAGATTGAATGTCCATGTATAAGCTCTATCCCTCCTATATACTGTAACCCCCCCCTTTGTATAAGCCCACCAAATATATAGCCCAGGGTTTATAGTCCGAGATTTACGGTATTCCATGAACCCATTAAGATGTGATGTTGTGATGGATTAACAGACTATGTGTGCATGTCTCAGTTACATTAGCACTTACATACCCTAATTTAACCCATTAAGCTGCAGAGCTTCCCCGCGTTTTCCCCCGTTTCCTAGGATACGAGGCCTCATCACGATTTATGAATAAGGTCTATAGTACTCTGATTTTCCATTTAACATACGAGCCTCTAGTCCTGGGATAGGGTGCAGTACATTTTGATTTACGTTGGACAAAGCTACAGTTCAGTCGGACACAAATACACTCAGGTCGGACAAACAATAAACCTCAATTTCACTTTGGTCGGACAGAATGTCTGGTGGTTTCCTCTCTACGTCGGACAATTTCACTAATGGGTCGGACAATGTCCATGACCGACCGATATTTTAAGGCCTGCATAGCCGGATTAACCCTAACCCGTAGTTAAAATTTATGTATTTCTACTACAGTATCTTTTTGTTTTAAAATTATGAAAAGAAAACTCCTATGGTACTGATCCAGACAAGATGTCTAAAGAAATATTTCCAAATTTACAAACAAACTGTTAGGAAGTTTGCTTAATCTAAGGTTAACTTATTGGCTTTCGAACAATCAACCCCTGCATGGTGATTTTGTTTGTCAATGGGGAGTGTGTTGGACTTAAAAGGTTTTAACCTTTCATTGAAACTGGATTGTCTGCCCGCATTTTGTGTTAACACATTATTAAGATAAAAGCCAGACTGCTTTCAGTACTTCATGATTTTACTATGTCTAACATCAGAGGGTCACATTTCATATTTAACCCTTTTAGATGCAAAGGCCATTTTAGTCATCCAGAGGGGGAGGGAGTCTAAGAGTAGAATCTTCTGAGACTGATAATAGTAAGATGTACTAAGACATCAATGGAATGGGGGGGGGGGTTAAATTCCAAGTTTCTTTGTATGTCATGCTTGAAGTTTTCAAGGATGGATAGATCGGCTTAGATAAAAATGTCAATGTGGCAACTTGAATATGGACATCTCCCTAATTGGAAACAGTTAAAGTCCTTAGTTTGTTTGTTTGTTCAAACTCATGAATACATTTAGCTAGCTACACCACCCACATGATCTGCTTAGTAATATATGTAACAACCCAATTCACCCAATTAACCCAGTTTTCAGCACTTTCTTAAATTATGTCACCTTTCCTAATGCCGGACAAGTTAATTTGTGTGTAGCTAGATTTTGCCCATGTTTCATGTTGACATATTTAGATGCAATTTTCCCTAACACTCCCTACTTTAAGTACTTTAATATTGAACTGTGACATCTCATGCTAGACAATTTTACTTATCGACTGCATGGACTCATTTCACCTATTAACACCGAAGAAACAATTTCCTCTTAAATGTTGCCTACTTTCGGTCCTTTCTAGGGGTGTGCAGGACAGAGTATTTCTGCTATCCAGCCAGATACAGGATATGCTGGATGGCTGAAAAATATCCAGCCTGATTAAGGGTATTATTCAAATAATTATATAAGGTTCAGGCATCATTTAAGGTTAAGTACTGGTAATAATTTTATTTGGTTAAAAAGTAAACAGTCTAAAACTAGTAAACCTGCATCATTGGTAGCAAACATGCATCATTGGTAGCAAAAGCCTCGTTTACATCAGTTAAAAGTTCAAATCCCCATTTACTGTACAAACAAACATTGAAAATACTGATCATATTTATCATATTTTTACTTCAATGATCATGATATGATAACCTTATCAAATCATTTTCTAACTTGAAAAGAAGGCCTGAACCCTATATGAATTAGCCTGCGTAGCGGGCGTTTAGTGCGGGCGGGAGAAGAAAGGGCGTCGTTAAATAAACGCCTGCCCAAATGCCTATGATTAATTTGTTCTTCTCCGAAGAATCTTCGGAAAAGCTTCCCATTGGTTAAACTCGTTAACGGAAGTAATTACGTAACTCAAATGTGAACAATAATTTTGCTCGCGTTGACGCGTTTATAGTCGCGTATCAAAAATATGCCGCCTGTTTAATAATGCTTTCGAGGAAACTTTCTTATATTTCAAGTATTTAGGCTTCAAAATTCAGTTGAACCAGAACAGAGAAAGTATATTATTAATTTGCTACGTGGTGAAGACGCCGGTTATCGCAATTCTTCCTAGGAATACGGAAAAGTTTGATCTTTCAATTATACATTTTAAATATATCCTGAATATTTCGTTAATTAATATAGTTGTCTTGTTATTTGTTCACTTTAAAGTATAATTCAAGACCAGATAGTTGAGGCTATATCACTTGGCATTGCAGCTATGAGGTTGAATGATGATTTTAAGAATATAAACATTTCAAAACATGCTCAACTGTTATATTTGCTATACGGCAGAATACGTTAAACAACCGTGGTTCAGGAGTCTTTTAAAAGATAAAAGCTCTGTGCACGTTGTGACTGACTGTTGTCTAAAATAGCTTCAAAAGCTCAATAATTCATGAGGAAAACACAAAGAAAAATCATAAACGTGTCGTATCCTTGATTTATGATAGAGATTCCCCTTGATTTACATAAATTTTAATGATTTTCTGTACATATACACACCGAATTTTTTGAAAGCTACTTCGCCAATGAACGTATACTAGATCGATCGTTTTTGAAGCAATTTAAAACATTCGCAGTGCGTGTATTATCAGACCATCTTTATATCTGATAAAACACTGCTGCTCGTGTTTTAAATAGTGCATAAAATCTCTGCAAATCTCCGTAGTTGCCGAGCAAAAAGCATGCATGATGCTAAATATAAATCTCGACTATGATTGGATAATGGGTGAAGGTACTAATTACAAAACGTCAATCATCCTTAATGGGCGAAAACAAATTGTCATAGCCAATTTGGGCAGGCGTTCCCTCTGTACCCGCCCGTCAGCTAAACGCCTGCTACGCAGGCTATATATGAATAATATCCGGCATTGGGTAGCCGGATACCAGATAATGAATTAAAATCTTAATATCCGGCCAGATACAGTATCAGTCCATTGCATCCTATGTCTTGAAATGCCAAACAAATTAACTTGTTAAATGACTGTATATTGATATTCAATATACTTAGCTAATATATGCACCCTTTTATTGTTAACCCTTTGAGCAGCAATGTGCCCAAGTGCACCCTACTTTGTTATGTTGCACTTAACTAACACCAGACATTTTACTTTGTGAAATGCCAGACAATTTTACTCCTCAAGAGCAGTGTCCTGCTCACTAATGGTTATCCAAACTATCTGCCAATGTGCCTTGATAACCCATTAGGCCGAAATGCACCCAAATGGACCCGCCTTTGTTATTTTACTCTGTCAAACGCCAGACAATTTTAGTCATCAAGAAGAGAGTCCTGCGTGCTAGTGGGTTAAATGACTTAATTACATATGTTATATATAAACTTAAGCTGTTAGATTGTCCCATTGTATATTAAATTTTTACTTATCTTGACACAGGCTTGTATGTTGGATTGATACGACTACCTGTAAATATGGTTAAACTTGGCTATGTGATTCAAAGGTTGTGGTTCACCGAGCGATAAAGAAAATGATACAAAGATGGAATGATTGGATGCAAGTTATTTACAGTGTTTCATATGACAGGTATTCCGATTGTGGAAGATGTGGGCTTGCAATATTTTGACAATTGCATGGCTATAAAGTACGAGACAGTTAATATAGTACTCCATTACTCTAATTGCCAGAACACTGCATCAGAATGAGAAGTTGTCTGTTACAGTTCGGTTTAGTAAAAGTACATAGTAAAAGTACATAGTCAACTATGTAAAATGTAATTTAGTCAGTGTCAAATAAATATTTTGTCATGGATAAACTCTGTGCAAATGAGCATGTCTCTAATGTCATTTTACTTTTAATAAGAATATGTAGATGTGTTTTCTAATACACCTCCTTAGGTTTGCTGTGTTATTATAGCATCTTTTGTAGGTGTGTTATGTAACACACCTTAGTGTGTTATGAAACACACCTTACAACGTGCTGTAAACATGACAGACCTGAATGGTGTGTTATACAGCACAGCTTTAGGTGTGTTTTAAAACACGCCATGGTGTGTATGAAAACACGCCATGGTGTGTATGAAAACACGCCATGGTGTGTACGAAAACACGCCATGGTGTGCTCAAAAACACACCTTTATACAAAACACACCTTAAGGTGTGTTAAAATCTGGACAAGCCGAAAACACACCTTAAGGTGGGTTTTAGAACACACCTTAAGGTGTGTTTGAACACACCTTAAGGTGTGTTAAACACACCTTAAGCTGTGTTACAAAACACGCCAAAAGCTGTGTTAAACACACCTTAAGGTGTGTTTTAAAACCCACCTTAAGGTGTGTTAAAATTTGGACAAAAAGGTGTGTTTAATTAACACACCTTTTTTTAGAGTGTATGAATACGAATATGCTAAATGGTGAAATTGAGAAGCTTAGTGTGAAGAATAAAGTTAGCTTTGGTTTTGATGATGATGATGATGAAAATAGCTGTAGTAGTATAACGGTTGAAACGGGCATTTGTACAGCGTGTAATGATGAGGAATATATTCATCAACGTGGAAAATCGGGAAAACAAAAACGGCACGACCATGATGATGAGGGGTGTTATCATAATTTGCTAGATAAACTTGAAAAAGTTTGTGCCTGCACGCTGCGAACCGATAATGAGTTTGCATGTCTTTGTTGCGATGAGCCCTATGATTTTTCGTACATGTTTGAACAGCCGGACCAACAGCAACAGCCGGAGCAACAGCTGGAGCAGGAACAAGACGATGGATACACAGAAATGATGAAACAACATGATGAAATGTACGCAGAAATGATGCGTAGTTTAAACGATATTATTGATGAAGATGAATAACAAACTAACTAGTTAAACTTTTTACAGCTTTACGGTATTCGGGATTGTTAAATATTTTCTTGTGAGTTTTTCGTATTTTAGTAGGCGAGACATAGTTGTCACGTGTATCAAAAAAAATTTATTATCAATATATGAGTAGATGTGCTCCCCCATATAGCGGAATACAAATGAGCTTGTGATTTCCCGCCATATGACGTCAGCATTTTTCCTGCCATAGGACGTCACCATTTTTAGGGATAAGAGTGACGTCATTTTTGGAACATTGTCGCGTAACATTTGTCGCGTGATCTTTTGGAATTTTCAGATGGCGTCAGCAAGTATTGTCGCATAACATTTGTCGTAAAAAAAAAATATGATCCTTGTAAGCGCTACAATACCAGTTCGAACCGGATTTAATATACTGTATAAATTGAGGTCTTCGAGTTTACAAGAACGTAGTGTTTACACAACTTTTGCAGAGAGAACTTTGAAAGATTTGCTTTGATATATTGTTCACATAGAAAACTTTACTGACGTTTCGCGAGTGGTTTTTTCCTAATATAAAGACTTGCTGCTTTCAACTTTTAAAGGTATGTTGTTTAACAAACTATATAGGTAAACTTTTTGTATGTGAACTTAGGCAAAGCATTTTTGTTTTATAGTTTTTACCGATAGAACTTTGCTGGATATTTGACGTTTCGCGATTTTTGTTTATAGTTATTCCCAGATATAATTGGTCAGAACTTTGCAGATGAGGTGTTCCTTTGTATTTCAACGTTAAAAGGTATTTAGGCAAAACAGTTTTGTTTATAGCACTCATAAATAAAGCATTTCGCGAGAAGTTTTGCTTTAAAAAAGTTGATTTATCATGAAGTTATTGCAAGCGGTTGCCATAGCAACTTAGATTTTAGATGATTTTTTTAAAACAATACGGGACGATTTATACCTTTTTACTATAAAAGTTTCAGTTCTTGATACAGAGTTCTATAGTTTGTTAAAAGTATTAAGTTCCTTCATGGCTTGTTGTATGTCATAGAAAGGAAATAAACAAGAGTATTTTTATTTAGACATGGATTTAGCAGTTAAAATTGCAGAGTGTCAGACAATAGTTGAATTATCAACTTTGGAAAGGCTATATTTGTTGAATGAAGTGGAACAACGCATTCTTTTCGAGAGGAAATTGGAAATTTTTCGTCGAATAACTGAATGGAGTAGAAAATGAGCAGCTAGGGCTTACGGCTGACTTTACGGACACCTGGACACTGGAACAACGTGAAAGATTCATACGTGAATGGCAAAACGATGACCCCCTGTTGCAAATGGGCCGTGGCGAGAAACGATCCATAGACGAAGTGAATGACAGTGCGACTGACGAGGTTAGCGATAATTTTTTTACCGTGACAAATATAAAACAAGTTAAAGTGAAAAAATTCAGCACGACAGGTGTGGATTATACAGTACAATTCACGGACACGTTTGCTCATTTGGAGCTTTCTCAGTTCCACGACCGTCTTCATGGAATATTTGAAAGTATGTTGAATACCATTACACAAGATATTCCAGAGCATGATCAAGTACGTTTTGTGTTGCATTCACCTCAGCTTGAAAAACCTATTTCTCTTCCTTTCATGGCTCTTTCTCATTTGACAACAGAGCGGGTTTTAGCTCAAATTGAGCGTGTCATTCAATCCAACCATGAATTTCGTCTAAACGACAGTGTCAAAGTGAATCTGGTCCATGTTGAAATGCCCAATGGCGGTACCGGAACAAAACGCAGTGAAATAAATTTGGAAAAGCATTTGATCAATAAAAGGGCAATTGTTCGTATTCAGAACAAGGATGATTTATGTTTAGCTCAAGCTTTAGTTGTTTCGATTGCCAAAATTGAAAACGATAGCCGGTATAAAACTATAAGTGATTTTCGTTGTTCACTGCAAACACGTTTAGCTCATGATTTGCACCAGGAAGCAGGTGTTCCGATAGGTTCTTGCGGTATGGACCACGTCAAACAATTTCAAGCGTATTTGACCGATTATCAAATCAACATTGTTTCGAAAGAGCATCAAAATTCTGTCATTTTTTCTGGACTTGATAAAGAAAAAAGGATCTATTTGTTTCTGCATGACAATCATTTCGACGTGATCACAAGCATGCCGGCTTTTATTGCTCGTAAAATGTATTGCCATACCTGTAAAAAGGGATATGACCATCAAAGGGATCATTTATGCGGAGATATGTGTAAATTGTGCCATTTTCAAAATTGTCCGATTGTTTCGTGGATTTCATGTAGTGATTGTAATCATATTTTTAAAAGTCAAGAATGTTTCGATCGGCACAAACAAAACGTAGGAAATGCAAAATCGATCTGTTTGTCTACTGCCAAGTGTCCTCATTGTAATTGTGTTTTCGAACGGACTCAACTGAGGCCTGATTTGCATCACTGCGGACTGAAACGTTGTTCAACCTGTGAAAAATATGTGGGCATCGAAGACCACCAATGTTACATGCAACCTGTCAAGGAAAAACCTCCACGTGAGACTGGTTTATGTGATGACGAAGCGGATGAGGACGTCCACGAAAGCGGATACAACGAACTACTGTTCTTCGATTTCGAGTGTATCCAAGAGAATGGTACTCACGAACCGAACTTGTGCGTAATTCAAAACGAGGCTGGTGACGAATGGTTGTTTCAAGGAGATAATACCAGGAACGAGTTCTGCGAATGGCTATTCACGAAAGAACATGAAGGATGTATTGTGGTGGCCCATAATTTTCAGGGCTATGATGGTTATTTCATCCAACAATACCTACACGAGAACGGTGTTATTCCTGAAGTCATTATGCGTGGTGCCAAGATCCTTACATTGTATGTACCTATGCTCGAGATTAAATTCATCGATTCCTTGAGTTTCATACCAATGAGACTGGCTGATTTTCCCAAAACCTTTGGTTTGAACGAGCTGGCAAAAGGATATTTCCCTCACCTCTTCAACAGGAAGGAAAACCAGAATTATGTTGGACCCCTACCACCGAGTCCTTATTACCATCCCAATGGAATGAATCCAGCAGAGAAAGAGACGTTTTTGAAATGGCATCAGGAATTGAAGGAGAACAATTATGTGTTCAATTTCCAAGAAGAAATTGTGAGTTACTGTCGATCCGATGTGGATATCCTTCGACGTTGTTGCCTTGAATTTCGCGAGTTGTTCCGTGACGTCACCGACATTGACCCGTTCGAGAAATGCCTAACCATTGCGTCAGCGTGCAATCTCGTGTTTCGGACGAATTTCTTTAAAGAAAACACATCGCCATTTTGCCTCCACACGGCTATCATCCAGGAATCAAGCAATCCAACATCGCCTTGAAATGGTTATCTTACACAGCCGAGAAGAATGACGTGTACATTCAACATAAACAGAATGGTGGAGAGAAGACTGTTGGTCAATATTCCTTGGATGGCTATGATGAGGAAACACATACAGCCTATGAATTCCATGGCTGTTTCTGGCACGGTAAGTTTTTTAGAGGGTCAGTTTTTTACATAGGTACAGTACTTTAACGAAATATTTTTTTACAGGGTGTTTGAAATGTTATGCACGGGACACCGTCAACAAGGTCAGCGAAAAGACCATGCATGATCTCCATCAAGCCACCATGGAAAAGACCCAGTACCTTAAAGATCGTGGTCTCCATGTTGTCGAAATGTGGGAGTGCGACATGAAGAAAGAATTGGAACACGATGAAGACATGAAACAGTACTTCGAGGATTACGATGTGGTGGATCCTTTGGAACCACGACATGCTTTCTATGGTGGTCGAACCAACGCAACAAAACTCTTCCACGAATGCAAGAGAGGATGAGAAGATAAGGTATGTTGATAGTGCACCCCAATAGATCTAGGAACGGGAGTCTAATGTCCATTTTTCTTACAGGTACGTCGACTTCACCAGTCTCTATCCCTGGTGTAACAAGATGACCAAAACGGTCATTGGTCGGCCTCGTATCATCACTGAAAACTTTGATGATATTACCACGTACTTTGGCTTGATCAAGTGCACGGTATTACCACCTCGTGGACTTTTCCATCCAGTCCTTCCCTATCGAACCCAGGGCAAACTGATGTTTCCTCTGTGCAAAGCCTGTGCTGATACGTGTAACCAAGCCCCTTGTACTCATTCCGAGCGTGAAAGAGCTATCCAGGGAACCTGGTGCAGCGTGGAATTAGAGAAAGCCCTGGAGAAAGGTTACCATATCCTCCAAATGCACGAAGTGTGGCATTTTCCCGAAACCTCCGACGCGCTGTTCAAGGATTATGTGGACACTTTCCTCAAGATCAAGCAAGAATCCAGTGGTTATCCCAAGAATTGTGTCACTAAGGAACAGAAACAGCAGTACGTCGACGAATACTTGGCAGTCGAAGGTATACAGCTAGACCGAGAAAAGATCGAACACAATCCTGGGATGCGTGCACTGTCCAAACTGATGTTGAATTCGTTTTGGGGTATGTATTTTTTAAACGGTAATGTTCTCGCAAGGACGGCGAGGTAAACTTATCTTTTACAGGCAGTTACAATAGATTTTTTTTCCCTTAGGAAAATTCGCGCAACGGTCCAATATGGCCAAAGTAGAATTGATTAAAGATCCCCAAGTGTATTTCGACTATCTATCGTTGGATGAAATCAATGTTCTCGTCGTGAGATTCGTAAGCGACGAAATGGTCGAGCTTCGTTACGAGTACAACGAGAACTTCGTCGAACCCAACGCCAGGACGAACGTAGTCATCGCCGCCTTTACCACCGCTTATGCCCGTCTCAAACTCTATGAGGTGTTGGATCAACTTCAAGAGCGAGTGTTATATTACGACACGGACTCTGTGATATTTGTTAGCAAACCCAACGAACCAGAACCTCCGCTAGGTCCCTACCTGGGCCAGTTGACCAACAAATTGAAAGAAGGACATATTACTACCTTCATTTCGGGCGGACCGAAGAATTACTGTTACAAGACTAGTACCAACAAGGTTGAGACGAAGATACGGGGGATTACCTTGAATTGTACCGCCATGCAAAAAGTGAATTTTGATGTCATTCGTTCGCTTGTGTATCTTCATGCCAAATGTAATGTTACGGGGCAAGTTACCGTGGACATACCGTTAAAGATAACACGGAACACGAGGACCAAAAACATTGAAACCAAACGCATGAGAAAAGACTACAGAATAGTTTATGATAAACGCTTTATTGTAGATGATTACAAAACATTACCTTATGGGTACTAATAACAGTTGAAATAAATATATTTATGAGATCGTTTGATCTCAATGTTAATTTCTGATGTTCAGTTTGCGATAATGATCCAAATTCACCCCCGTTTCTTTTTCCAATGCCTCGATCTGCTTTTCGTTTTTTCTAGCCATGTCCCACATCAACATTTCTTTCGCGTTCATATGGTAGGTAAAGGTGTTTCCCTGGGGAGCCCGAGGTACCGTTATACCCGTTAGTGTTTCCAGTATGATTTGCGTCAATATGATGGCGTGCAACGTCGGATTGTCTATAAGCGTTGCTGGTATGATATTCTTCTCTATCAAAAGTTTCATCAAATCCAGAGTAGCCAGATTTCCCTCTTGCGTAATAATTTTGTCCGAGAGCCAGTGAGTGACAATGTTTCTCCAAGTCATGTCTGCATTGAATGATCGTGAAATCAGGAAAGGTACTGAGCTTTTATAGATTTTGGTTACATAACAATATGTAATGCATTGACGGACTGTTCCATTGTGACGCGGTCCTCGGAAATGTATCCGTGTTCGACGCATGCATACCACACTTTCTCGATAAAGTCTTGGTCTGTTATAATTGCCTTGTCGTCTTCATAATACGGTACTCCATGTCTTATTAGCTCCTCTTCGGAAAATTCCTCTAGAATCTTATCGTACAGGTTAGTAGCACACACGCTACGACGAAACACAAGTTCCTCATTAATGAAAAATAGTATAGCGATGGTCATCCTGACGCTGTCCAACGATAAATGAAATCTGTAGAGGCATCGTGTCTTTTATAGGTTACAATAACTGAAAGATCACGTGTTTCAATGCCCGCCTGTGTTTCACGCAAAAGATAGTTTTCCAATCGTCCGCCGTATACTCAATTAATTCGAAATCATATACTTTCATATCACTCAGACTTTCCGTAAAAGCTTTCATCACTTTTGTTTCCGAAGCCTTTTCCAGAGCATGATCAAAGTATAGACATAACCGTTCGTCTCTTTCCATCGTAAGACACTGATGATGCGTTTGAGACAGATGCTCTGTCATGCAACCGTTACAGTTTTCAACAACGAGCTGAGAAATGATAGAAGCGATTTCTTCAGCTGAAACTTTTAAAAGTTTCCTGACGATAAGTTTTTGACGTTGATAAAGAATGAATTCCTTATTGTCAATATCGACGGGTTTAGACATGTTTACTCTTTGTCTGATCGAAAGTAATGACTGTTTCTTTCCTAGGGGGAAAACTTTATACGTACGTGCACCTTTAAAAATCTTCTCATATTCGAGTGTACGTCATGGGACACTCTGCCAGTAAGAATTCAAAGATCAATAAAAATCATAGCAAACAGAAAATGTTTAGAATCGGTATAAGTGCAGGACAAAATGATCTTAATCTTGAAGGGCATGTACAGGTGGGATACCGTAGTAAAACCATCAAAAATTACAAACCCATTGAAAAGACCCAAGAGAATAGTATTGAAAACGCTGAAGAATGAAAGGATTTTGTCATTTTACGCGTGAACATGGACGACTACTTATCTAGCGTGTATTACGATCCAAAACGACCCGGAGGATTTGGCGGTGCGGAACGTTTGTATGAAGATGTTAAGAAGGAAGGAAGATTTGCGCTAAGTCGTAAAGAAATTAGGGAATGGCTGATGAAGCAAGATGCATACACATTGCATAAACCCATCCGTCGCCATTTTAAACGAAACCGTGTCATCGTGGGCGGTATCGATCAACAGTGGCAAATGGATCTGGCGGATATGCAATCCATGCAGAAATTTAATGATGGATATCGTTATCTACTCGTGTGCATTGATGTTTTTTCAGAATATGCATGGGTAGTCCCGTTGAAAAACAAAACTGGTCCTATGCTGGTCGAAGCTTTCAAAGTCATTTTAACGTCTGGACGCAAACCCGAAGGGATCATGACCGATCAAGGAACAGAGTTTCTAAACAAACATTTCCGAGCATTGATGAAAGAAGAAGACATCGAACTATACAATACGTACAATGAAACGAAAGCTTCTGTCGTGGAACGTCTGATTCGTACTCTAAAAACCAAAATGTGGTGCTATTTTACAGCCAAGAAAACCATGCGATACGTAGACATCTTACCTGATCTGATCTATTCGTACAATCATAGTGTTCACCGTAGCATCAAAACAAAACCTGTGGACGTTACTGCTGAAAACGAGAAGAAAGTGTGGCACACCCTGTATGATGATCATAACGTCGTGAAAAATGTAAAGTACAAATTCAAGGTCGGTGATCAAGTGAGAATTAGCAAGATGAAACGAACATTTGAAAAAGGATACTTGCCAAATTTCTCCAAAGAGATTTTTACAATAAGCAAACAAATACCACGTGATCCTCCAGTGTACAAACTAAAAGATCTAGACGGTGAAGAACTCAAAGGAGCATTTTACGAAAAAGAGCTGCAAAAGATCATCAAGGAAGATGACGTCTACGAAATTGAGAAAATCTTGAAGAAACGTGGACGAGGCAATAACGTACATTATCTTGTAAAATGGTTAGGGTACCCCAATAAATTTAATACGTGGGTACCCGCTTCTGAAATAAATAAGATTTAAAGCGTTGAACGTGTTGTTAGTTTGTTATTCTCATCGGGGATTCATAATGAGCGGAACACATTTTTACCTTACGCTTCCGAGCAATGCGTCCCTGGACGTTTTTCCCGACAACAAAACGACCGAATATCGTGTAAAGTTACCGCAACCCATTGAGTTGGATGGCAATTGGGAAGTCGGACTGTATTCCATTTCTTATCCCCGCACTTGGTATACTCTGCGGAATGTTGTTGACGATCTATACTTTTATTACAACGACGGTACCGGAAACAATGGCGAGGGATTTTTCCTTGTGGCATCTGTCGATTACGGGCACTATGAAACTGTACAAGAACTTCTCAAAAACATGAATGCCTCTCTAAGGAAAAAAATCGGCAGCGACAAAATCAACTTAACATACAGCACTCGAACAGGAAAGGTGACCGTCCATTTGGGAGCCAATTGTAAGATTGGTTTATTTAAAAAATTGTCCCTCATCTTGGGATTCAGTGGAAAAGAGGTAAAAATTGACAAAACGGGCGAAAGTCCACACGTAGTCGATTTGAATATCTTTTCGACGATCTACACGTATTGCAACATCGTTCAACCGCAGATCGTTGGAGATATGAGTGCACAATTACTTCGAAGCATTCCCGTCGAAGGAAAGTATGGCGATATCGTTACGAAAACGTTCACCAACATACAATACGTGCCTGTTCAAACGAAATCTTTTGGAGACGTGAAAATTCTTTTAAGGAACGACACAGGCGATCCAGTGCCATTCGAACGGGGGAAGGTGCTGACAACACTACATTTCAGACAGCATACATACTTCACTTGAGGAAGATGAATAATCCGTACGTACGTTATTATTTGGATCAACAACAGGGGCGTGGCATGCCCATGTTCAGGGGCAGCCCCTGGCAATACGGATACGGGCAACAGACAGGGTACGACCTGGGGAGCCTGTTCCGTACTCTTGCAAGAAAAGCCATGCCTCTGATTAAAAGTGGAGCGAAAGCTCTTGGAAACATTGCCCTGAAAAGCGGGACAGACTTTGTGGGCGATGTCCTGGCAGGTAGAAACGTGAAATCAGCAGCAAAAGCACGAACCATACAGGCCGCCAATATTGCAAAAAGCGTTCAAGAAGTGCAAAGCAAACAGCTAAAAAGAGAAAGATATCTTCAGTCAGGCGCAGTCAGAGCAAGAAACGGAAAACAGTTAAAAAGAGAAAGGCATCAACATCTGCAGCCAGATGCAAACAGACCAAGAGACGGAAAACAGCTCAAGACATATTTGGTTAAGATCATGAATCTCGTACATTCCAAATCGCAAGAATGCACAAAAAGCGAACTCGATCTATTCTCTGTGCCCCCAACACAAATCAGTTTAGAAAAAGGACATTGGGTAGATCATCAACCTGTTTCCAGTGTAGCCGATGGTGGTGTCATTACGTTCCTGTCTCCGGGCACTGAAGATTATGTGGACCTTGCTAGAACGATTCTTGTGGTGAGAGCGAAAGTGACAAAAGCCGATGGTACGGATCTCGGAGCAGCCGAAAAGGTATGGTGTTTTTCATATTGAATACGGCGTTTCCAAATATTAATTTCCTTCTAATCTGTTTAAGGTTGGAGTGGTGAACAATTTCCTCCACAGCCTGTTCAAACAGGTGGATGTCTTTTTGAAAGGGAAACAAGTCACTCAGGCTACCGGAACCTATGCGTACCGTGCTTACTTGGAAACCCTTCTGAATTACGGTCCCTCTGCAAAAGATTCACAGCTCACTGCTGCGTTGTATTACAAGGACACTGCAGGGAAAATGGATGTTGCGGATCCTACCGCGGTCGGTGGTAATGGCAACGCTGGACTCAGAGCAAGATACGTTTTCAGCAAAGCAAGTGGAACTGTTGAAATGACCGGTCCCATATTCAGCGACATATTCATGTCCGAACGTCTCCTGCTGAGTTACGTAGATCTGAAAGTTATTTTGAATCGAAGCAGCGACGAGTTCTGTTTGATGGCCTCCGAAGGAGCCGACTATCGGGTGAAACTCACCGATGCTTATCTCAAGATACGTAAAGTGAAAGTCAACCCGAGCATTTCTGTGGCTCATGAAATTGCATTGAAAAAAGGACCGGCCATCTATCCTATTCGTCGCATCGAATGCAAGAGCTTCATCGTTCCAGCTGGAAATCCCTCCCTAAAGATAACCTTTTCAATGGACTGGTGCCGAAAACATTTGTCTTTGGAATGGTCGAAAGCGAAGCGTTTAACGGTGCTTTGAAAAAGAATCCATACAATTTTCAACATTTCAATGTGTCTTCCATTGGAATAACTGTGAACGGAGAAGAAATGCCATTTAAACCCTTGCAGCTTTCCTATGGTGCTGCACCTAAATACATCGAAGCATTCAGCACCCTGTTTTCTGGTACGGGGAAAATGTATCACAACACAGGAAACGATATATCCCGAGAAGAATTTCCAGAAGGTTACGACGTGTACGCCTTTGATCTGACACCGGACATGTGCGGAGCCTCTCCTCATTTTAACGTGGTGCAGAAAGGAAATCTAGCCATTGATATCCAGTTCTCCACAGCGCCTACAAATGCTGTGAGTCTTGTATGCTACGGGAGTTCGAGAATACCGTTCACATCGACTCTGAAAGAAACGTTGTCTACGATTACTCGGGATGAATACTGCCCAGATAACCCATGCCTTGGAACAAGATCCTGTAACAAGCAAGAAGTTTTGCGGCGTGTTCCCTAGCGACAAGCTACCTCAGACGATAGACAAATATCCGTGTGGATTCGTTGCGAACACTGATATGAGCAGCGAACCCGGGATCCATTGGACCACTTTTTACTTTCCATCAGAAGAGAAGGGAGAATTCTTTGACAGTTACGGACATGCACCCGAGTACTATAGGAAATCGTTTGGAGACTTTTTAAAGTCTCGCGCATGGGATTTTAATAGACGTAAACTGCAAAGTGCTTGGTCGGATGTATGTGGCCAGTATTGCATATTTTATCTTAGTCATAGAGCAAGAGGTCAGAGCATGAGTAAAATCGTACATTTATTTAACAATGATACGGTCTTAAGTATCCCAGTTTGTTAAGAGACATTTTAAGGTATTGTTAAAACATTCCAATGTTAACCCTAACCAGCTCAGTAAAAAATGTTTTCAATAAAATTGTTGTAAAAACTACAGTATGTGTTTCCTTATTCTGCGCATGCGTACAGACTTACGTCCCACATGCGAAACGTGCATAAAAACCGCAGCCCCAAAGAACTGACGCCAATACAAAATTGGTTTTAACAATATTTTTTATTAATACATGCAAACAGTTACAACATTTTAATAATTAATCCATTGTTTGGATTTCGCCGTCTGTTTTCTTATAAAGTTACGGTAATATTCCGCGGGACTTGCACGTGGTGATGCTGACAATGGTTGCCCTGGGGGTGTTTTGAAAACAATTGGTTCATCCTTTTGAACTTCCTTCCATCTTTCCGTGTTCCTTGCAATATCTTTGGGTACGTTAATCTTTGACAGTCCGCGAAAAAATTCTTGTGCTCCCTTAGGATTAAAATTCTTGCGTGCCCGCATGGCGTCACTGACCAGATCCGATATATTTGAATCGGGAATCTCTTTACCATCCACTTTCACTTGCCCAGATTCGTCCCAGGAAATAACGTCAGGTCTTGCTTTCAGACGTTTTCGAGCGCAGGGTTACGGGTAAATGACCGATCACGTCCGCGTCAGATAAAGATACTTCCCCTTTGGACTTCTGTTCCGCATCCTGTGCAATCCGAACAGTCGGTATTTGATCGTCCTTCTGTCGCTTCAAACTCAAATAACTTTCCATGCTCGCATTGTACATTTTCTGTTTTTCGACATCGGACATGTCTGTACTCTGAAGAATCTCTGACATCGCCGTATCCTGATGCATCATATTAGATGTAATGGGGGAGGTTTCAATCTTTTGTTTCTGCTCATAACGATTAAGCACATCCTCCGGGACCAATACCATGCGTTTCGCATGCTTCATGCCAGTAAACTTCCGAGTACACTCAACACGGGTGGTAAGAGAGCTGACAATAAATTTGCACCTTTTTTATTAAGGCGTTGTTTTTTCCGTTTTCTCGATACTTTTTTACTGGCCAAATCACGGAGATGTGTCTTGTAACGCGCTAAACGTCGCTTTTGACGAGGTGATAATGGGATGACACCTTTAAGCAAGTTTAAGGAACATTCGCAGATAGCGGTGATGACCTCCGGGGGGACGTTGTTGATCATGAATTTACGTAGTTTTGGCCCACATTTCCCCATGACCTGAAGGTACGGTAGACTTCCTTTCATGCGCTTCGACATCTTGAAAATGAACCGTTTTCAATACACGTTTGGCTTTTAAGCACGTTTCACATAAACAATCTGTTTCTCTTCGGGTAAAATGTTGGTCTTCAAACGCATATTTTCCGGCGTCAACTGGTGACAATCGATGACTAAATATCCATAAGGCCTGTTCGTCGCATTGTGAAATGCATCCAGAAGGTATCCGGTATGTTTAGGAAACATCTGTCTAGCAAGTGTGGAAACACCAAGCGAGTCACGTGGGTTTCTAAACACGATGAGAACGTGACTATTCAAACTGATCGTTCGAGAACATTCGCCCGGTGGGAACAAATTCTGGGTAAGGTACAGCACGGACATGCCAAGGTGATGGGAATCACGTGTAAACAAATCCGAGACACGTGGGTCGTTGGAACATTGAGACATTAAGTCATCGAGCACGACTAACGAATTATCATGTCCACGGGTCATCTCACATAAATTATCGGGAAATCCTTCTACCAGAGTTAAATTGGGCACTGTCTGCAACATTTGTTCGAATTCCTTCTGATATATGCCGTAACAGTATATTATTTTGGTTGGCACGGGATTAAATAGTTCCTCTGCATGCCGTAACATAGAACGAACCAAATAAGACTTCCCGCTTTGAGACTTCCCACAAATATAAAAGTTCGCTGGCGTTTTAAATCTCACGTCCATCGTGTTCACGTGCACAACACGTACTGTGTTATTATTTGACGTGTCCGTTCGTTTTATATCTTAAACACCTGCCTGATCATTCTACGGAAAAAACTCTCCTGGATTCGAAACGCACTAAAATCAAAACTTTTCAAGGGCGTTGTAACCAAACGAACAGCTCTGCGCGTAGTATCTTCAGAATCGTGCATCAAATAAACCAGTGTCAGGTATGCCATAGCACGGCCAAAATTAGTCACGTTGATCGTGTTAAAAACAATATGCATTTCATTAGGATTAACATTCACTACCATTTGATTGTACAACGCATCGTGGCGCTCAAGCAAAGCATTAATAGCATGAGATAATGTTCTCATGTCAATATCAACGCCCTGTGTTTGCAGTTCATCTAGTATCACTTCCATTGCAACAAAACAACAAATGAATACAACAAGTGAAACAATCTATTTATATGCAACAAATCTCAAATTCAAAAGGAGGAAAAAAAGGGGGTATGGCGAACACGAAAATGTATATATATATGTTTAGAGCAAAAATATTGTTACTTTTTGCCGTGACGTCATAGCACCCAAACAATAACGGTGGCTGTCCTGCCTGGGTTAGAACGCCCAGTCAGCAATCGGGCCATCGGGCCTAATCGGGCCAAAAAGTGCCATTTCGGGCCTAATCGGGCCAAATATAATATCCGGAACTCGAAAAAATGTGCTAATTATTGGTAGGAATTCGTTGAGCAAACATGGGTCGCACGCGTAGGGACTGTCCTGTATTTGGTTGTGGTAGTACAAATCTTGCAAGGTTAGCAAATCATCTCGATCAAGTACATGGTATGAACACAGAGGAACGCAAGAAATGGTTAAAGTGGAGTAAAATAGGAATCTGTGTACCTCGACAGAGTGAAGAGCCAAAAGAATTCAACGTAGAAAAGAGTCTGGAAAATTTACTAGTGCGACAAGAGGAGATGGAGAGAAACTTTAACGTTTACTTACAAGATGCAAGATTAAAGCGTGGAGACAATAATAAACGAAAATCTAAATCGGAGGACCACAAGAAATGGTTGGAATTCTAGTTTATTTACTCGACTACGAGAAAGTACTATTGTTGCCTGCGAACAAGAAATGATGTGCATTCAAAGTTATGAATGTTAAACTTTGTTAAGCCCGAGAGCATTAAAGAACAGAACTACTAAACGGAGGATGGAACAGTTTACAACGATCTAAACTGGAGAACACTGTAAAAGCCGGACAATATGTTTAAGAACTGTTTATTTGTGTAAATAATTATTGTATTTTAAAAAATAAATAGTTTAAAAACTGAATCTATGCCGTGTCAATTTATGCGAGTCTCATTAGCATTAACATTCAATACCATTTGACTGTACAGCGCTCCGTGATGCTCAAACAAATATTTGACATGATGGGATAATGTTCTCATTTCTCGAAGCCCATCTAGTATCGCTTCCATTGCAACAGCAAATGAATACAACAAGTGAAACAATTTATTTATATGTAAAAATCATGACTGACGTCATCATGTACAACATTTCATAAAAAATTACACGTAATCATCTACAACTTTAACTCGTTTGCAAAATCATGCATGAATTTAGTTGTTAAATAACTGTTCTTATTGCAACTCTGACCCTCTAATGGAACTCATGGACCATTAGAAAAAAGTGATAGGTTCACAGATTGAAAAAATCGCAATTGTTCGTCAGGTGCCCACTCGAAAAACCGGCACGAACTCTCCTTGTCATTCGGACAACTAAAGAACAATCGATCTTTGTTAAGACCTTCTTTTTTCATCTTACAGACCACACACGGTAATCCATGGCGACATTCCGGTTTCGCTAATGGCTGCACATCACCCCACATCCAAAAGGAACAAGGCTTCGTCTTTTCTCCACACACGAAGAACGGTCTTCCATAATTCACTTTCATCAAATCTTTTACCACACACATTTTCGCAAGCTTATGATGTTCATCGCACTGAGGATGAGGCTGCTCCGTACATCTCCAAGCTGTTATAGCTTTTTCATACATGTAGCCTTCATCTTCCGCGCAGAAGAAATTGCAGGTAGGGCTTTGACACTGAGCTATACTATATTACTGGAGGACCTGCTCGGCATGAAAGAGTGTCGCCAAAAACATGGCGGCGCTTACGCCATTTCCATGACAACTGGTCCGAAGTCTCCATGGTAATTGCCACTGACCAACCGCGATCCGAAGCATTAAACAAAGTCCTGCACCCCCCCTGTTTTTACACAAATATTTCAGAATTTAGAGCTGTTTTCGGTTGTTTTTGAGCTAGAAAATCTTTCCCTCGCACTTTACTTGTTTTACGATGTGGAGGAAAAGTGCCGTTTTGTTTCGTTTGTTGATGCAGCAATTCGCTATCAAGAAAGATTAACTATTCTTTCAGGTAAGATTCATGAAACTATTTTTACTTTGTAGAACCTTGCTAGATATAAAATGACTCTCGAAATGAGTCAAATGAATATTAAGTCAAAAACTCTGCTACTATATATATACAGCAAATATTTCAGTAGCAGACACATTAAAGAGCCTCTGGAACCGGGGTACGGACACATAAATCCTGTTTATAATCGTTGAAAATTGTGCCTGACATGAAATTTATGTTGTTTTGTGTTTTTTATTGCCAGTTTTTAATATAAATTTATAATTATTGTGGTTGTTCACTTGCTCACACGATCGTACAGATTATAATAATATATGGTGTGAATCAGGATTAATATATAGATAAGCACAAAGACAGAGAGTGTGGGACAGAGGGAACAAAATACCCAGGACCTGGGAGTGTTCAAAGCAGTGTGCAAAAGTTGGATAAGCATGATTGTTTGCCTATGTGTTTGAGAAACAAACTGAAACTTTCTTTTGAGCTAGATTTAACAATCTCTCTCAATAGGGTAGCAGCAAGTGATAGTCCAGAAACTGCACAGACTTCATGTCCTGTGAACAAGGCTGCATTGCATTCCCCCACATTGAGCGAGTCTCACTGAGCTTGGACAAGCAAGTCCTACTTTTGCCAGGCTTTTTGTAGCAGTGTTTATATATGGGGTTGTAGTGCAGTGGTGGTCACTTATTGTGTGTGTGTGTGTGTGTGTGTGTGTGTGTGTGTGGGGGGGGGTTAGGTTGCCACCATATGACTGTGCACTTTAGGTTGTTGGATATTGTACTAGTTCTTTAAACTTTTTTGCCATAACCCATGGAGCACCAGTGTGCTCTCCCCTTGACAAGTAAAATTGTCTGGCATGAGACAGATCGAGTAAAATAATCTGGTGTTAGACAGAGTAAGATTAACTAAAGTTGGGCACAGATAGTTTGATTTATATTCCATTGAGTGCCATGAGCACTCTCCCCTCGATGAGTAAAATAGTCATTCCTAACCATGCAGAAGATTGTCTGATTAACCCACTGAGTGACAGTGCTCTCCACTAAAGTGCATTAGGGTGCATTGCCACTTAAAGGGTTAACATATATGTAATACTTATTATATTTTTGTTAATTATTAAAGATGTGTAATAACATGATTGTGGTATAATTATGATGTTATCTTTTTTTGCAGGATTTATTTGTTTAATATAGGTGCCAGAAGAGATGGCACAGGATGCCAAAATGGAGAACAAATTGAAGTTATGATAATAATTAGTCACTCACCAATTACTGTAGTCAAGTATAATTATGGTGCAACTCTTTTTTATTGACAATTAAGAGTACTACACACAGTGACATTTAATTTTTTAATTCACACTACATTAAATCTAAATGTACATCTTGTGTCTAAATGTAGTATGTAAATGCTTGTACAATTGTACAGCAGGGACTGAGAGAGCAGAAAAGAAAGTTACAGTAATTATTATATTATATTAAAATATATTCAAAGCACCAACAACAACCTTTAATCAGATTTACAACATGAGACAATACCCAAGTGTTTTAATAGATCTGATGAAACATGTACTGTGAGTGTTTTGGATAACTTCAGAAATGATGTATTTGATAACTTCATAAATAAATTCAAAGATGAAGTTTATGTAAATCTGATTTCTTTTTGTTTTCACCCTCATCATGATTTTTGAAATTTGTAAATGTGTCTTCCTTCAATGTTAGGTCCCCCCAGGATTTGGTTCACCAGAATTGCAGTCCTCCTTTTCATCTGGGAAAATCTCAGGTCCCCCCAGTTTCTCACCCATCCTCCCCCCCATTATTGATATGGATCAATAATTCATTATTGATATGGATCAATAATGAATGCCTCCTTATTAATGTAATTTAATTCAATACAATTTTCAATGATTATATTAAATACTTTTTTTCATAAATACTAAATTACAGTACGTTTCTGTCGTTTTATGCAAATATATAAAATTTATTAAAATTTTCGTTAACATTTTGTGATTTCTATTTCCAAACCTAGAGCTCAAATCATTGGTAGTTACTTGACCTCTGAAAATATGTTTAAATTAATGTAGTGGATATTGGATTGGTTCTGAGAAAATTATGAGTCAAATATAAATTTACATTTTAAAAACAAGTACATTTTTAAAAATTTTCCCCCAAAATGCTTGAATTACAATCATATTGCCTCAGTTCAACTATTTCAACAAATCTAGTATATGTCATCAGGAGTGTTTCATTTTCTTTACAAAACTAGTAGTGTTACTTAAACATGTCCCTTGGATTCCCTGCTGATTAGCAGAGATTGGTACAAAACTTCCAATTTTCAGACCTTGAGGATTGCAGCATTGAAGTATAATTTCATGACCACATGCCGTATTCCACCAATGTATCAGATTCCTCAAATTTGCCACTGACAATACCTCTCCCTTAATTTAAGAGAACACTTCTTGGTCTAAAAAAATATAAAGCAGTTTAATTATTATCTAAGAATTACATATTAATTTAATGAAGCAGACCATGTATTCCGATGAGAAAAATAAAGAATTGAGAGGTACAGTAATGTCTATTCTTGATTTCTTGTGCAAATATTCCTATGTTGACCACCAACTATTACATGCAGTAAGTGCATGTTTGGTGAGAAAAGGGATTTACATGGTAATGCTGATGTACAGTACATCACTAAATGTTGAAGGGTTTTTGTAGATGAAAATTTTGAGTGTAAATTTTATACATTTTTAGACTTGGTTAAAGCAGCTGCAAAAGATGCAACTATATTTTTTAGGTTGGTTAGGTCTAAATATGTATAAAATTCACGCTTAAAATATTCGTCTAGTGACGCTACCTTCGATACTTAAAGTTCTGTTGAGTGTGATGTCCAAAATCCTGACATTTACCCTTACACCTTACTACAGGCTTCACCTCACTTACATGAATTTATTTGCAACTACAGCTTGACAATTACTGTAGCTGATCAGTATATGTATATTGGTTTGAACACTGCATCAGAATCACTTATGGCTGCAGGTTTATTCCTGTCTTAAAGGTCTACATACAATGCTGATTAGAAATGCTTTCATTAAACTGTTTTAAAAGTTGCATTGTACCTTAATCCACCCTATTTTATATAAATTGATAAACACCAGACAATTTTACTTGTCGAGGGGAGAGCACTGGTGCTTAAGGAGTTTATAATCAGGTGTATAATGACACAAAAAGTGTCTCCAATCAGTATTTTATAGGTAGACAGAAACTACCTTTCTGGATAAGCCAGCTTCCAGTAGCTTAGTACACAAAAGTTGGTGCATATTAAAAATAAACACAAACCACAAACCCTACAGGGCCTACACATCATAGTTTCATCAAGTGTATGTTTATAAAAGTAATAAAACGAGACCTCAGGTCTCTGCAGTCAACTTTTTTAACATTATTACACAAGATAGTTTGCACTTTAGTGAGTTTAGACAGTATATACAGTATCATACAAATTTGTGAATATCAAATCTTTGTTGTTTAGAACTATAAATATTTGTGAATACAGCTTGTTAAAATAATAGGAAATTTTACACCTTACAATATGAAATTTGGACTGTAGAAAGCTGAAAGCTTGTTTTCCTAACAAATGAAGTGTAGTTCATCGTTAGGCTTACCAAGTTCATGTCAAATAAGATAAAGAATAAGTAAAATTGACTAGACGCCTCCTACCTTTTACTCGACTCTGTCAAGGTATCGTCTTTAATACTCTTTTCCCGCATTTCTCAAGGTTTTGTTTGGCTTTCGCGGGCGAGAATAACACGTACGACTTGCATATCTTTAACCAAACGGTCAAAGGTAGTAAATATAACTCAAAATTTAAACAAAAGATTTAAAACAACGAGAACTATAAATTTTTATCTGCAAAAACCAAATCTTTTGCAAAAAACCAGGGGGGGGGGTGAAAACTGCCGTGGGCTCAGAATTGAGCCTGGTCAGTGGTAACTACCATGAGGTTTTCGGACCAGTTGCCATGGAAATGGCGTCATATGGCGTCAAAATCCGCCATGTTTTTGGCGACACTTTTTTGACTGACGAGAGATAGGAGCAGGTCCTCCAGTTATTATACAGCTCAGTGGGCTTTGACCACAAAACCAAAAGGATCCATTGCTTGTTGTGGAATAGGCAGCAGGTTTTCCATGTAAACACTTCATCTTGTTAAGTTCTCTCTGCGAAAGCTGTGTAAACACTACGCTCGTGTACACTCGAAGACCTCAATTTATACAGTATATGCGAAATCCGGTTCTATCCGGTATTGTAGCGCTTACAAGGATCATATTTTTTACAATATTTAATAAACGTTATGCGACAAATGTTTATGCGACAAATAGTTGCTGACGCCATCTCAAAATTCCAAAAGATCACGCGACAAATGTTATGCGACAATGTTCCAAAAATGACGTCACCCTTATCCCTAAAAATGTTGACGTCCTATGGCAGGAAAAATGCTGACGTCATATGGCGGGAAATTTACCCCATATGGGGGGCTTCATCTACTAGTGAATCTTTTCAGCCCTTTCTAACTCAATTACTGGCTCTATTATACCCTTCTCTAGTTGTTCCTTAATTACACTATCATATTCCTCCAAAATTTCCGGTTCCTTCTTCAACCTTCCTAATTGACCTTTCAATCTCTTTAAGCTAATGTTGTAATTACTTGGTAATGCACTATGACCTTCCTTCCAAGGTAACTTTACACTGTACCTTGTGCCATTAAACTTAATTGAATCTTTTAGAGACTCGTGTGCATCATCTTCCTGTCTAATGCCTAATGTTTCAAAATCCCATAAACGATGTATAAAATCATCAAGTTTTGTACAACTTGAGTTATCTTGCGCAAGAAAATTTACATCGACAACATGCATACTATTTGTTTCATTACCACTACCACTTACCTTCATAGGACCAGACAATACCCAACCTAACCTTGTTTGCACTGCCACAGGCTCGTCAGCCTTCCCTCGCACAACATTTCCTTCCTGGAAACACCACAGATAATCAGCCCCTATCAACACCTCAATTTCCAACACTTCATTTTCCTTACAAACATCAGAAAACCACAATCCCTGCAAATGCGAATAATCCCTTTTCTTCAACTCTACATGCTCATTTCTGATTTGTGAAACATACTCTACACCGTATGCCTCAATCTTCACACTCTCTCCCCCCGTAACTGGCAAAACTTCTAACTCAAAAACGTCATGCAATTTTCCCTCTGCCTTCTCTTGCCCAAATGATTTGATTTCAATCCACTCCTTTCTCTTAGCTGGAACTCCGGCTGCCTTAACTACCTTTCTACTCACAAAGGATTTGTGACTCCCTGTGTCAAAGAGTACTCTGACCTTTGGACTACCCTTCACTCCCTTCACTAAAGCTTGTGCTGTCTGCAATGCTACCCTACTTTGAGAACCCAGAATGGAATGATTGGATTGAACATGGTCAGTAGGAACCCCAGTACCCTCACAAACAGACCTATGGTGTCGTTTCCCGCATGCATTACAATTAACATTACTAGAACAATTTTTACTAATATGTCCCTTTTTCAAACAAATAAAACATCGTCCGTACTTACGAATAAGTTGCTTACGCTCATTAATATCTGTTATCTTCTTGCAATTTTCGTGCGAGTGTTCTCCCAAACAATATGCACACGTTATACGTCCGTAATTCCCATGACCTTGCCTCGTAAACAGAGCGGCAGCAGATCCCCCAGCATGTCCATATATATTGTTCTTTCGCCTTTCGTGGTTCTCGGGTTTTTCTGTCGTTGGCTTGTGTGCTTCCCGTAGTTCAATTTCTTTTAGAAAAGCATCCATAACTTCTGTCATCGACCATTCGGAAAAGTTTGTATCCCTAGTTATAGTCAATCGAAAGGACTCGGGCAACTTCTCCAGGATTTCCGGCACTACGATAGTTGAATAGGCGGTTTCGTCTACCCCTAGGGCTTTCAACCCTCGGTAATTTGTCTCGCACGTATCATATAGCTTCCGTAGTTTCTCTGTGTCTCGGTCATTACAAACTGGTTTCATGTTCATCAGTTCCTGGATGTGCGCCTTTTGTATTGCGTTTTTCTTCCCGTAGCGTCTCTTGAGTAGATCTATCGCCTCGTTATAGTACGCCGATGTAAGTGCAAACCCCGAAATAGCTGATCTGGCTGGCTCAATCAACAGGCTTCTCAAGTACGCGAACTTGTCGACATCCGCTAAGCCTTCGTTTTGGTTTACGGCGCTGTCAAACGAGTCCCAAAACTCTTGCCACTCTTGCAATTTTCCACCAAATTTTTTGACTTCCAGTTTCGGGAGTTTAGCGCGAATAATCTTTTTTGTCTCACTAGACAAGCTGCTGTTCAATGTAGTATCATCTGTCACTGTTGCGCTTTGAACAATGGCTTCGTTTGTCACATCGGATATGTCGAGGATAACCTTTTGCATGTCCGCTATAATGTCGTCTGACTCCTCGATTTCTTTAGCCAGTTCCTCTTCCGCGTCTTCGTCTTTACTGTCACTTAACAATTCGATGATCGTTGCGTCGAGATTCTTTAAGGCTTCAATCTTATCCTTTAAAGTGTCTCGCAGTTGTTTCAAGGCATTTTTGTCTGTCTCGCCTTCGCTGTTGTAGTTCGTCAATTTTTCTTTTATCTTTGAAACAATCTTTGTTGCTGAACCTCTATGTCCTGCGCGTATACGTTTTTTCTTTGTTAATTCATCCATCATTCAGGGCAACTATCCAGTTCGAAGGACCAAGTGTTGCACTTTTCTGCTTCGCGTCAATACGAGCAGTTGCGCTTCAGCTGGTTCTCTTCTCTGGGGGCTGTATACTATCACCGTACAACCAAATAATACGCGCAGACAATTCCTTTTACAAATTTATTAAAATAAAACAATCATAACGTCTCCATTTCTTAAACCCTTACAATCTTACAAACACAACCTTTCTTGATAAAACTCTAAACCCCACTCTCTTACAATCTCAAGCGTCAATATTTCCCGTCGTCCGGAAGTTCATTGTCTATTGTTTGAGCGTAGACAACGCATTATCTTTTAGGCGATCTAAATTGCGACCTTGGTGCATCTGTTTTGGACCATAACTCTAGGTCATTAACCGACATTGCTGACTTATATGGTATGCATCAGCTGATAAATGAACCCACACGTGTTACTGAGTCATCTTCGACTATAATCGATCACATTTTTACTAATGCTCCAGATAAGGTTGTTTTCTCTGGTGTTTCACATGTCGGCATTAGTGATCATAGCTTCATTTATGCTTTTCGAGCTCAACCAAAACCTTCATCTAATCAGCCCGCAAACGATAAGCATCTTAACACCGAAGCTAGTACTGGGAAAAATCGTAAAAAGAAGGGAAAGAAATCTAAGTCCAAACCTCCAACACAAAATTCCAGCCAACAAACTGCGGATGTAGATACTTCTGGTGGTATTGTGAACACCTCTAGTTCTAAATCAACGGGGCAAGGCAAGAAAACAGTTGTTATTGCAGGGGACTCAATTGTTAAAAATACTATTGGTCCGAAAATGAGTGCTGACGATCCTAATCACCATTTTATTGTAAAGCCGTTCCCTGGAGCAACAGTCTCAGATATGGAGGATTTTGTCAAGCCATTGACAAGAAGGACACCGAACAAGATGATCTTACACGTCGGAACAAATGACCTGAGAAGTCATTCTACGCCGAAAATAATAGCAGACTCCATTGTCAACATTGTAACACAAATAAAAGAAGATTCACCAGGTACAGCCGTTGGCATTTCAGCTATTCTGGTAAGAAATGACAATAATGACCTAGCTGCTAAAGCTATTCAAACTAATAATATTCTTAAAAGCTATTGTAGTCTCAATAGAATCCCCTTTTTAAGTAATTCAAATATGAATGCAAGTCACTTAAATATGAGGGGTCTTCATTTAAATAGACAAGGTAGTTTAGCTTTACAACAAAACTTACTAGGTTTTGCAAAAACTATTTCAGATTGACTTTATCCTACTCAGTCCGTTATTCCTAACTCGCGCGGGTTTAAGCTCGCGGCACTTAATGTGAGAAGCCTAGTAAATCATATTGATGAGCTGCGAGTTTTGCTTGCTACTAGCCCGATCGATGTCCTAACAATAAATGAGACATGGCTTAATTCTACAATAAGCGATAACGATGTATATATACCTGGATACGAAATCATACGTCGTGACAGGGCATTTAGAAGTGCAGATGGAAAAACGTATGGAGGTGTTTGTTTTTATGTACGCTCCAGCGTAAATTTCATACAGCGTAAAGACATGTCTATTGATAATTTAGAAAATCTATGTATTCAAATTCAAAAACCAAATTCTAAGCCATTTCTCGTTGCGACATGGTACAGGCCACCAAATTCGAATGTTGATAAATTTAATTATTTTGAGACATTTATTGACATGCTTGATGCTGAAAATGTCGAGTACTATTTATTGGGTGACCTAAATTGTGATCTCGGGTCGCCTGATTTAGAGAGTAATTCGAGATCATTAATAGGCATTACTGAGCTCTATGGTTTACATCAATTGATAAGTGAACCGACTCGAATTACTGAAACTTCCTCAACTATGATTGATCATATATTCACCAATACACCAGATAAAATTGTTTGCTCCGGTGTTTCTCATGTCGGTATTAGTGTCACAGCTTAATTTATGCATTCCGTAAGCTTTCAACCGGTCTACACAATAAAGGCCATTCTACAGTAAATTATCGAAAATTTAAAAATTTTAACTCTGAAAGTTTTCGAAGTGATAGTTTTTCACTGAATTGGGACGTCATAAGGTTGTATAATAATCCGAATGATATGTGGCGTGTGTGGAAAACGACCTTTAATAACGTAGTGGAAATGCATGCTCCTTTACGGACAAGGCGGGTAAGACTTTCTAAGTCGCCCTGGATCACGCCTGAGTTAAAAAGACATATGCATGAAAGAGATATTTTAAAAATCAAGGCTATTCGATCTAAAGATATTTATGACTGGGCTGCTTTTAAGAAAGCTCGCAACTCTGTGAACAATGAAATTAAATTTGCGAAGAAAGCCCATTATATGAATGCTTTTTATGAAAACGAGAGTAATGTGAAAAAAACTTGCGGTATTATTAATGAATTAACCTCAAGAAAACAAAATAATTCACATGTAAAAGAGATTAAACTTAATGGTTCTTCAGTTAGTGACCCCCCGGGGTTATCAGAGACGTTTAACACTCATTTTGCTAGCATTGGACCTAAGCTTATGGAGAAGATACCTTGTGATGAAAATAACTGCTCATATTTAGAATATCTCAATTGCCATATTGGTGGTAATACTTTTGAGTTGAAGTCGACAACTTCATCAATGGTGTGTTCACTTTTGGACAAACTCTGTAAATCTAAAGCAACTGGCCTAGATAAAATATCTGCTAAGCTGCTTCGCTACTGTCCTGACCTACTGTTGGAATCCCTTACCGTAATTTTCAATTGCTCTATTAATACCGGTATCTTTCCTGATGAATGGAAATGCTCAAAAGTCATTCCATTATTTAAACACGGTGAGCGTAGGGACTTGAATAATTATCGCCCAATTTCGGTAATCCCTGTTGTAGCGAAGGTTTTCGAGCGAATTATTTATGATCAAATCTATGCCTTTCTTACTGACAACAATTTACTATGTAATAGCCAGTCAGGGTTTCGATGTCTACATTCAACTGTCACCGCGCTTCTTGAGTCCACCAATAACTGGGCATACAACATTGACCAAGGCCGAGTTAATGCTGTAGTTTTCCTAGATCTTAAGAAAGCGTTTGACACAGTTAACCATGGAATTTTACTATCAAAACTGAATGTGTATGGTCTTGGGGGTGCTGTGGGTAATTGGTTTAAGTCTTATCTAAGTGACCGCAGTCAAAAATGCTATGTTAATGGTCATCTTTCTAACAATCGTACGTTACTCTGTGGTATTCCACAGGGGACTATTTTAGGACCATTGTTATTTTTACTGTATATAAATGACTTACCAAATTGCCTTGAGCACTCCCAAGCACGAATGTACGCGGATGATACTAATTTAACATTTGCAGGTAACAATATTGACGACATAAATTATCACCTTAATCATGACCTTGCAAATGTGAACAAATGGCTTATCGCCAATAAGCTTGCTCTAAATCAATCCAAAACTAAATTTATGCTAATTGGCTCACGACAAAGAATAGCCACATTTCGATCAGTTCCATGTTTAGAAATAGACGGGGTTCCTATTGACAAGGTTTTACAAGCAAAGTCTCTCGGAGTGTACCTTGATGAGAATCTATCTTGGAATATACAAATTAATGAATTAACAAAAAAGATTGCTTCTGGTATTAACGCTTTAAAACGTGTTCGATCATTTGTCCCAGTCGCAACATTGCAATTAATTTTTAATTCCTTGGTTCAGCCATATTTCAATTACTGTTGCACAGTTTGGGACAATTGCAAAAAAACCCTAGCTGAAAAACTTCAAAAACTACAAAATCGTGCAGCAAGAGTACTAACATTCTCCAGTTATGACACTAATGCTGATGGTTTAATTGAGAAACTTGGCTGGAAAAAATTATCATCCCAGCGCCAGTTTCAAAAAGCTGTCATGGTCTATAAATCATTAAATGGTCTTGCTTCTGATTACATGCATTCCATGTTTGTAAACCGTGACAGTGTTAATCCTTATTCGCTGAGAAACACTGAGAACAAACTAGCTGTTCCCAAGCCCCGCACGAACTATCTCAAGAATAGCTTTAGCTATAGTGGTGCGGTGCTGTGGAACAGTCTTCCGATTGGGCTACGGCAAGCAAATAACTTGATAAATTTCCGATCGGGCTGTGCCAAATTATTTTAACTTTCCTTGTATATATTGTTATATTAGCTTAGTACACGGCCCTCATGAAAAGCAGGTATTATATTTTCTATTTACTTTAGCGTGGTTCTACTTTTGTAATTTATCTAATTTAGTTTGTTGCATGTTAAATCCTGATGAGAATACCGTGTGTAAATAAAGTTTTAATAATAATAATAATAATAATAATTCAACAGGCATTTACAATAAAGGTCATTCTACCGTGACATATAGAAAATTTAAAAACTTTGACCTTGATAGTTTTCGGTCTGACATTTGTGCACAGAATTGGACTGCTGTAAACAACTTTAACGATCCAAATGATATGTGGCGGGTTTGGAAAAACACATTTAATAATGTTGTTGAAAAGCATGCTCCTTTACGCACGAGGCGTGTCAGATCTTCTAAGTCACCGTGGATAACGCCTGAATTAAAACAACATATGCACAAAAGAGATATTCTAAAAGTTAAGGCTATTCGTTCAAAAGATCCTAATGACTGGGCTGCATTTAAGACGTTCCGAAACTATGTAACAAATGAAATTAAACTTGTTAAAGAAACTCATTATCAGAACGCATTTCATCAAAACAAACAAAATATGAAAAAGACTTGGGGAATTGTAAACGAACTTACTTCAAGGAAGCAATTTAGTTCACAAGTCAAGGAAGTTAAAACAAATGGTTCCTTAGTCAGTGAACCTAATGAGTTATCCGAGGTGTTCAATGATCATTTTGCTAGTATAGGCTCTAAGCTTGCTCAGAAAATTCCCTATATTGGTAATGGTGGTACACACCTTGTTTACTTGCCAAGTCAATCTAATGATAATTTTCGACTAAATACAACTAGTCCGTCGGTGGTTGGTACCCTCTTGTCTAAACCTTGTAAATCTAAAGCCACGGGTTTGGATAAGATATCAGCCAGATTACTTTGCGATTGTTCCGACCTAATAGCCGATTCAATATGTGCAATTTTTAACTGTTCTATTAACTCTGGCACATTCCCCAACGAATGGAAATGCTCAAAAGTCATTCCATTATTTAAAAAGGGAGAGCGTAGGCATTTAAATAACTATCGCCCAATTTCTATAATTCCAGTGGTGGCGAAAGTTTTTGAGAGAATTATTTATGATCAAGTTTATGCCTATCTTATGGATAATAACCTCTTATCTAATTGCCAGTCAGGGTTTCGAACTCTTCATTCCACTGTCACCGCACTTCTTGAGGCTACTAATAACTGGTCTTACAATATTGACCGAGGCAACGTTAATGCCGTCGTTTTCTTAGACCGCAAGAAGGCGTTTGATACTGTTGATCATGCAATATTGCTGTCAAAGTTAAGCGTATATGGTTTTGGAGGTTCTACAGGCAACTGGTTTAGGTCCTACTTAAATGATCGCAATCAAAAATGTTATGTCAATGGTCATCTGTCTAGTCAACGCGTATTGCCTTGCGGTATCCCGCAAGGGACTATCTTAGGACCTTTGCTTTTCCTTATCTACATTAATGATTTACCAAATTGCCTGACACATTCCCATCCACGTATGTACGCTGATGACACTAATTTAACATTCGCTAGCAATAATGTTGATGACATGGACTATAAGCTTAATCAAGATCTTGATAATGTCAATAAATGGCTCATAGCCAATAAGCTAACTCTCAATCAATCTAAAACAGAGTTCATGCTAATTGGGTCAAGACAAAAATTAAGCACGTTACACTCGGCCCCTTCCTTAGCAATCAATGGAGAGATTCGCCAAGTTTCTCAAACGGAGTCCCATGGGATGAAGCTTGATGAAAACCTGTCTTGGAATGCCCATATCAATGATTTAATAAAAAAGATTGCTTCTGGTATTGGTGCTTTGAAACGTGTACGTTCTTTTATTCCGGCTACAACGTTGAAGCTTGTTTACAACGCTCTAGTTCAGCCTCATTTCAGCTACTGTTGTTCAGTTTGGGATAACTGTAATAAAACTTATGCTGAAAAGCTCCAAAAATTACAAAATCGTGCAGCCAGGGTTTTAACATTCTCTAGCTATGACACTATTGCCGATTCACTCTTTGAAAAGCTCAATTGGAAAACACTTTCCTTTCAGCGTAAAGTTCAAAAGGCTGTAATGGTCTATAAATCTCTTAATGGTTTAGCTCCCGACTATATGCACTCCATGTTTACTGATCGTGAAAGTGTAACTTCAGTCCAATTGCGTGACACTGAGAATAAATTAGCTGTTCCTATGCCTCGCACAAACTATTTGAAAAACAGCTTTAGTTATAGTGGCGCTGTGCTGTGGAACAGTCTTCCAATCGGGTTACGGCAAGCACAGTCCCTTGACAATTTTCGAGCGGGCTGTAGAAGTCTTTTATAAATTTTAATGGCTATTTTTAATACACGGCCCTCATGGAAAGCAGGTATAGAGATAACTTTGTAACCACCGTATAGTTTTTGTTGCATGCCCATATATGGCATGCAACTATCATATAGCTTAAAATTTCGTGTCCGTTGGTGGTGAAACTTGCGGCAGATCACGTGGGACGAGCATAATAACAATAAGCATAATTATAAATTTTGAATCGTGTGCACGTTTTCTTCCATGGTTTTCGTCGAGCAAATGCAAAGATTCGCAGAAAATTTACATAATCGAGCGCCTTAGAAAAATACATCGAGGTAGGTAAAGCTTTGCTGTTTTATATTTACTTTATATTCTGTTATTTTGTTGTGATTTTGGAGCCGCTGTGCTCGCACTGATTATTTATCAGGCGTAATATAGCGTGAAAGGCCATGCATGCACGCTATCAAAATACTAAATTTAAATATAATACTCAAACTGAAGTGGAGTTATTGTGCTCGCATTGATTATATTGTGTGCAAAACTTCAAAACTACTGTAAATTTTGTAAATAACATGAAATATATTAAAAATAACAAACAAAATTCTCATTAATACTATTGAAATTACAACGAAATAGCATTCTACGTCGATAATTTCAATCGTAGTCTAACAATTATTTTCAATCTGTAGTAATTCACCGTTTCCATGTTTTTTTTTTATACTTTCAATAAGGCTACAATAAAGCTAAATTTGTAGGAAATAACATTATTTAGTTATAAAATAGTAAAGGAAATCTAACAGTCAATAGCTTTCGATAAAACCTTGACCTTGTTTATATTACCGTCGCCTGCAACTAACGATGAACAGTTGCTCATAAAAACATTGCCTTTTCGCGTGATAATCTAAAGTTTTCTTATTTTGACATAATAGCCAATTTTCAATAAATATATTGATATTAAACTTATTGAATCAATATATTAAGTTTCAGGCCAGTTGTACCAAACGTTATAAGCGCTAGCGCATCATAACCAGGGGGGCGACCTCTTGGGGGGGGGACTGCTTCTGTTTACGGTACTTGCTGAGTGACGAATCATCAATCATGACGAATAGTGCTTACGCAAAAAGAACAATGGAAATCGACTTCTGTATAGTATTCTGTGTCATAACGTTTCATGGTTTTGATTAGCCTGAAAACAGACCTACGTTTCGCCCACCCTAAAATCTGCGGGTTGACGGATCCGTAGACTTGCTCCAAGTCTCTCTTTCATTGTCATATCGATCCACTATGGTGTACATTACATGACGTAGCACTGAGAGGCGGAGCGAGAAAGAGAGACTTGTCAACTTCGGAAAATCTCGGTTCAAAACTGAACCGAAAATGCAAGACTTGGTTTAATTGTTTTCTGTCAGTGTTTATATGTATTGATCTAGCACAGTGTAAATAACATGAGTTCCATTATAGTAAATAATACAGAAAGAAATTGAAGGAAAACAATTAAAGCAAGTCTTGCATTTTCTGTTCAGTTTTCAACCGAGATTTTCGGAAGTTGACAAGTCTCTCCTCGCTCCACCCCTCCGTAGTACGTCATGTAATGTACACTATAGTGGATTGCTACTATATGACAATGAAAGAGAGACTTGGAGCAAGTCTAACAGCTCCGTCAACCTGCGAATTTTAGGGCGGGCGGAATGTAGGTCTGTTTTCACCATAGATATAGGAGATCTAGATTGCGAGTTAACGCATACCTAGCGCAGGCGGGGCCTACATGATAAATCCAAGATGGCGGTACAACAGGGCAAAAATACTATAGATTCTATTACGAAAATCAGGATTTTTGCATTTTTTGCCGTCGCATTGTTTCGAAACTTATTCGGTCAAATTTTATGGTAAAGAGAAACTTACCGCGAAGATTTTGAGCATATATATGATTGAATTGGATGAAAAATCGCAAAATTATCCAGCGATAAAAGTTTGTGTGAAATGGTCAGTTGGTCAGTTGGAGCGTTTTATTGCCAGAAATACTGTGCTATGTTAACATCTAGCCTTGTGAATGGTGTTTTATACTTGCATCTCTCATCATCATTTTTAAGTACTGATATAGTACTATATATGTAACTTGTACAGTTTTGCTTTAATTTTTGCTCACTATTTGCATAAAAAGCAAATTATAACAGACCATAGATGATAGACCCTCATCCAGTGCTCTCATCAGTTTACTTCTCTAACAAGCAAGGAGGGGGGGGGTACATAACAGTTCATTTTTCATAATTATGAGGACAGAGCAGATGATGATGAGAGATGCAAGTATAAAACACCATTCACAAGGCTAGATGTTAACATAGCACAGTATTTCTGGCAATAAAACGCTCCAAGTGACCAACAGTATACTGACCATTTCACACGAACTTTTATCGCTGGATAATTTTGCGATTTTTCATCCAATTCAATCATATATATGCTCAAAATCCTCGCGGTGAGTTTCTCTTTACCATAAAATTTGACCGAATAAGTTTCGAAACAATGCGACGGCAAAAAATGCAAAAATCCTGATTTTCATAATAGAATCTATAGTCTTTTTGCCCTGTTGTATCGCTATCTTGGATTTATCATGTAGGCCCGCCTGCGCTAGGTATGCGTTAGCAATCTAGATCTCCTATATCTATGGTTTTCACGCTAGCTTTTGATGGCATGCAACATGTACGCACTGCGTACCTATTTTTGTTTAGTCGTAGAACCAAACGGTTCTAAACGTAATAGAGTAATAGTAAAGGTACAAGTAAAAGTAAACGTAAAATTTGATAATTTTACGTAAGATTTGTATAATGTGACGTTTGTTTCAAATATATGATAATTTTATTCAACATCAGGTGCTATAGTCGGACTATAGTAACAGTTTAGAACCATATTTCTACGAGTTTGGATCGCTATTTGGACTAGTCTATTTGGAGTGTACATTTGTGGCAAGGACAAGTTTATTGGATTGTATTTCTGGAAAGTTTAAGTGTATATTGATCGTCAGAGTCGGAGAATTTGAATTATACGGTATCTTCTCGTTAGGAACGGGTTAGTTTGAGTATATTTTCTCGACAAAGACGGTGTATTTCAAGTATATTTATATCGTCAGGGACGGTGCATTTGAACTGTGTTTTCTCGTTAGGAACGGGTTATTTTGAATTATATTTCACTTCAAGATCTGGTTTATTTAAAAGTATATTTATATCGTCAGGGACGGTGCATTTGAACTGTGTTTTCTCGTTAGGAACGGGTTATTTTGGATTATATTTCACTTCAAGATCTGGTTTATTTAAAAGTATATTTATATATCGTCAGGGACGGTGCATTTGAACTGTGTTTTCTCGTTAGGAACGGGTTATTTTGGATTATATTTCACTTCAAGATCTGGTTTATTTAAAAGTATATTTATATCGTCAGGGACGGTGCATTTGAACTGTATTTTCTCGTTAGGAACGGGTTATTTTGGATTATATTTCACTTCAAGATCTGCTTTATTTAAAAGTATATTTATATCGTCAGGGACGGTGCATTTGAACTGTATTTTCTCGTTAGGAACGGGTTATTTTGGACTATATTTCACTTTCAAGATCTGGTTTATATTCAAGTATATTTTATCGTCAGGGACGGTGCCTTGGAACTATATTTATTGTTAGAAACGGTTATATCTGACTATATTTACTCAAGATCTGGTTATTGTAAAGTATATTTATCATCAAAGACGTATATCTTCTCGTTAGGAACGAGTATTTGGATTAAATTTCACCTGAAGTTCTATATTTCACTTGAAGGATAATTTATATCGCCTGGGACAGTGTACTTGTATTATACAGGGTATTCTTGTTTGAACAGAATATTGGAGTATAGATATTGTCGAGGACGGTGAGTTTGGACTATATTTATTGTCAGGGAACATAAGTTGTTAATTTTATTCAGGAACATATATCGTCTGGGTACATTTGTGTTATAACTTTATAACTCATACTGCATGATCAACAGTAATGTCTGTGCGATCGTGTCCAACAGCACTTCAGAAGGAACCAACTGAGGTTAACCCAGCCAGGTCCGAGCCTCGACAAGAATGCCTTGAAGGTACATGGAGAGGTGTACGGTTAGAAAAAGAAGAAATGGAAAAGGAGAAAATAAATGCCTTGTTTAAGACTCGTATACATTTAATGAACACCCTCACAGAGACGAAAGGATGGATACAGGAGGCAATTTATGCTGGTGAACCAGTGGATAATATCAAGACAAAGAAAGAGCATTACGATGAATGTTGGAGAGAATTTGTCAGCAAACACGAACAATACATGGAGTTACTCGTGAGCAAAGAGGAAAAGGATATTGCAAGTCGAAGTTATAAAGAACTGATGACCAAAAAAATGCATTTGGATGAAATGGTGATGTCTTTACGAAGGAGACTAATGCTAGGGTCAAAACAAAAGGGAGAAGATGCTAGTTCATTCTCGGGAAAATCAAGACGAAGTTTGGCAAGTAAGTCAAGTCACAGTTCAAAATTTTCAACTGTGTCAAAAAGGAAAGAACAGTTAGCGCTCGCTCAGTTGAAGAGAAGCCAACTACTGAAACAGCACGAACTCGAACGAAGAATGACAGAGTTGAATTTCGAGAAAGAATATATGGAAGCCCGAATGGAAGAGGAACGAGCAATCGTAAGTTTGAATGTTTATGAGAATGAATCAGATAACAATTCTGAGCATGAAAATGTTAACAAAAACACACTCTCAATGAATCAACAAGGGCAAGGACTATCACCCCTTTCACAACCATATGTACCACAAGAGCAAATAGTACAAGGGACTAATATATCTTCACCCCAAGTTTCTAAGGTATATTCACCCGAAAGGCATGCTGAACAGTACAATGTGCCATTGCAACTGACACAGACATACCCTCAACAAGAACAACCGGTACAGTCAATTAATATCCCTTCACGACAAGTTTCTGAAACATATTCACCCAAAAGGCAAGTCGAGCAGTGTAATATGCCATTGGAACCCACCCAGACGTATATTCAGCACGAACAACCCCTACAGTCACCTAATATACCTTTATCGCAGATTCCTAGAACATATTTACCCGAAGGGAAAGTCCAACAACCCGCAGTTAAAGAGATAGATACAGGGGAAGAGATGGTGAGAGCACTGCGACAAGTCGTGTCTATGCCAAAAATTAAGTACATGCACTTTGATGGTGATGCAATAAATTATGCTTCTTTCATGCATAATTTTGAAACATGCCTAGAAAAGGACAACCCTGATAATTCCACTCGTTTGCAACTCTTCATTCAACACTGCAATAATAAAGCCCGTGACGCAATTGAAAGTTGTGTAAACTTACCAGCTGAAGAAGGATATACAACTGCAAAGAAAACGCTGTATGAGAACTTTGGAAAACCGCACATAATCGCACGAGCACATATTAATAAGTTGCAGAACTTACCACCATTGAAACAAGCCAATGGAGCAAGTTTGCTGGAGTTTTCCAGGCACTTAGAGGTTGCAGATAGAACGTTGACAAGTATGGAGCCTGAATATGAAAGTGAGTTGAATCACGTCAACACCTTGCGAGAGTTAACTCGGAAGCTGCCATTATTCCTGCGAGTAAAATGGACAGAGCGTGCTGGTACGACGATTGAATCTGGCTCTAGACCCAAGTTTAAAGATTTCCTCCACTTCGTGAAGAAAAGAGCAACGCTTGTAAACAATGAGTTTGGGGAAGATCTTTGTGCGAGTCTTGTTAAACCGAAGGAAAATGTGAGGAGAAAAGATGGATCGAGAGAACCCTCCCGAAGATCATCTTTATTTGCATCCGGCTTGGATAATCGACAGAGTCATAAGAACGGAAGTGGGAATTCGATACGATGCACGATGTGTTCTGGCAACCATAGAATTTGGAGATGCGAAAGTTCAAGAAACTTTCCTATCAAGAGAAGAAGAAAGTTGTGCAACAACGAGAACTTTGTCTTAAGTGTCTCAGTGAAGGCCATTACGCAAGAAAATGTCCTAAAATTAATTTTAAATGTCTGGTAGAAGGATGCAGTAGAGGACATAACACATTGTTACATCCACCGCAACATGAAGCTGCTGTTAAGGAAGAAAAGGAAGACCAGAAACCTCCAGACCCAATTGAAACAACTGGCGGAACAAGAGAACAAGAAGTGAAAGTAACAGTCGCAACTGGGGCCGGCGAAAGAGTGTGCTTAAGTGTTGTTCCTCTTAAAGTACGAGCAAAGGGAGGTAATCAACCCGCCATTAGAGCTTATGCACTCTTAGACAGTGGATCTGAAGTTACGCTTTGCCATGAACGTTTGAAGAAACAACTTGCAGCAAGCGGAAGGAAGCTGGACTTCACATTGTCAGGCATGACCGGATCGACCAAAGTAAGAAGTGAATTGATAGACATTGAGGTGGCCTCACTGGATGGTGAGACACTGATCGAGTTGTCAAACGTTAGAACTGTCAATCAAATGCCGATCTCGGAAGCCTGCATTGCAAAGAAAGGAGACGTTCGAAGTTGGTCTCATTTACGTGATCTGCCATTACAAGAGTTGGAAACTAGAGAAGTTATGTTGGTCATTGGACTTCAAGAGAACCCTTCCATGTTTTTGCCTTTGGAATATCGATCTGGAGAAGAAGGGGATCCTGTGGCAATCAGATACAGTTTGGGTTGGACGGTGATTGGGCCCGTTGGTGAAAAAATGGATGGCATGTCTGCGACATCAAATTTTGCTAGAATGTCTGTCAACGCTGATGATCTTTCAACTGATGATCGTACGTTTGAAAGTCTGAAGGAAGCGAGTGAGTTTCTCACAGAAGACCGTGCCATGGAAGAAAGTGAGCAGGTAATGAAGGATAGAACTGGAGAACGTGTTCAAGTTGATGATGAAAACACGGATGAAGATCTAAAACACCAATTAGAAAGGCTGTGGAAAACAGACTTTGAAGGTTCTCTAGACGAAACCAAAGTGTGCCCGTCGGTGGAAGATAAGAAAGCGCTACAAATAATGGAAAAAACACTTAGATAGTGGACGGTCATTTTCAAGTTGCTCTGCGATGGCGGAATAATCCACCATATTTGCCCAATAACAAGATGGTAGCAGAAAGGCGGGGTTTGCTTCTGAAAAAACGCCTCCTCCGCGATGACGAACTGTTGAAAAAGTATCGGACAACGTTGAATGACTACCTAGAAAAGGGTTACGCTGAGAAAATCCCTAAAGAGCAATTGAACATGGAGAACAGACCGATCTGGTATCTCCCGCACCACCCGGTTACGCATCCCCTAAAGCCCGAAAAGGTTCGAGTGGTATATGATTGTGCAGCAAGTTATGGACGAACGTCGTTGAATCAACAGCTCTTGCAAGGTCCAGATCAAACAAATCAACTGACTGGCGTGCTTATCCGATTCCGAGAAGAATCTGTTGCAATGGTTGCAGATGTAGAAGCAAT